GTTTTCATCAAGTCTTTCTCGACATTTTTGAACAAAAATTAATCAGAATATTTTGAAATTTTTAGGACAGATATATCTCGATGAGTAGAGTCCCTTCTTGCTTCCTCTTCCATTGTTCGAATAAAACGATCGAAACATTGAGTGTACTCTCAAAAATGCATTTTCTTTCAATTGGAAATTTGTTTTTTGTAAATCCTAACGAAAATCAGCAGTGCATTATATTTTGAAATAAAAGTGAAATAGACACTCTAAACACTTTCTCGATCGGATGTATTGCATTTGAGAAAGAAACACAATTCTGAACTATTTTTGTCAAAAAAAACTCATTTTTCAAAAACAGTGAAATAATATGTAAATTTTTATAGTTTTCAGCAAAAATGTTTCATCTTTTCTGATTAGGGATGCAACGATGATAGCGCACCGATCTTATGTATAGCTATGCATTGATCTAAATAGGTATGTATAGACTGAAGGCGAACACCTGATAAAAATATGATGGTCTTGAATTGATTTCAGGTTTTTTGACCGAAAAAATCATTTCAATAAAATAACAGAATTTTTTAAAAATAGACTAAAAACTTTTCGAATTCAGGCATTCCAATCTATAGGAGATTTATTGAAATTCTCGAGTTCGGCTTTCTCGTTCGAGAAAAGTTTAGTCACGTCTTATAAAATTCAGCTATTTTCTTAAAATAGACTTCTCCCGACTAAAAAAAGTCAAAATGAATGTAAGATCATCTTAGTATTATCATTAGGGAGCTGCAGATCCTTCGAGACCCGAACCCGAGTCCAACCTTTTACCTTTTGCTGAGCCCAATTACACGTTTTTTGTGGACCCGCTGCTCTCCAGATGAGAAATACAGCAACAACATATGACTGTACGTTGAGTTTTCTCTGAGAATAGCGAATAAATAGCTAAAACATTGATCCTACACTTGTTCATGTACACGAATACTGCCAGGTATTGATGGAAAAAAAACCTCGAACTTGGACCCGCGGGTTTCTAGTTATCATGTATTTACTGTCTTCACTATTGCAAGCCTATTTTCACTTTTTCAACTTTTATAGTTATGTGTTAATTCTTGAAATATGTTCGATAGATTGAAAATATTTCGACGCGTATATAGACTAGAAAAAAAGCCAAAAATGAAAAATTCTAAAATTAAAATGCAGTGGAGAGTTCCTCTTAAGAATCGTTTGTTACATACAGATTGTGATGAAGAATGTGAACATAATTTAATTAAATATTGAAGAATTCGAGCAAATTCTTTCATTTCATAATGATAAACATTTTCTTCGATTTGTCCAGTTAATATTTGCCAAAATAAATTTATTTCATAATTATTACAATATCGATTACATGCATCTTTTATATTATAACCAATTTCAATAGCTATTTCTTTATTATTAAATCTTTTTGTTAAATAATCAAATACATAATCAGTTAATTTAATATTTGTTTTTGTTTCAAGCTAAATATAAATTTTTATCGTTGAAAATATATTTAAAAAAAAAGTTATTTAATTAACATACTTTATTTTCATCAAATAATTTATTTGACCAAATTTCTTTAATAAGTAAACCAGTTATTCGTCGACGTATATGTCGATTTTTAATAAATTTTTCTTCAGAAGATGTATCTATAGATAATTGTTCAAAAAATATATTTTTTTGATTTAACTCCTAAATATATAAACTAAAATCATAAATTTTATATAAAACTTTAAAAAAAAAATACATTTTTATTATTAATAATCATAGAAAAATATTCATTATTATTTTCTTTCGTATTTCCATGAATAATTTCATTAATTAATACATCAACTAATTCTTCACTTGTTTTCCCAATTGATAGATTTTTCCATTGTGTTATAAGATAAGAACATTTATCCCAATCAGGTCTGAAATAACAATTTAATTTATTTAGGATATACGAAAAGAAAGCAGTAGAATTATTTTAAATCCCTATAAAAAGCTTAAAGAAAATCTTTTCTCTATATGATAGTACTATGAGATTACTCTTGTTTTGATATTCACTTTGTTCTTGTATAATGTCTAGCCGTCTATTTTGTATTAGAATATGTAGGAAGTAGTGACGGTAGAACAAAAAAGAAATTCAGAAACAAATTTTTACTTTAGGTAATTCATCGAATTTGGCACTATTTTTAGGTTTTGGTTATTTGACTTAATAAACGATCAAAACGTTGTTGCTTCGTACTGTAAACTAATTCATAAATTCTTTGAATAGAGAAAACACGTTCGATAAATAGATTCAACAAATGCAATTGAATGTCATTAATCACGACGATTATTTCAAATATTTAACGAAATAAAGACTTATTTCTTTCTTTTTTGCTGTACCACCACTACTTTTTGTACATCCTAATATGTATGGACGACTAGGCATTAGAGAAGGAGAACATCGAGAAAAGACTATAAAAAGTGTCTCAGAAATATTGAAACAATTTTAACATTCATCGTTCTCGCATCTTTGGCAGATTATGGGACATGCTTATTGCTACATAACTACAAAGTTTCAAATCTATAGTTTGTACTATGCATAAGGACCTGTAACAACATTATCATGTAGTATTTTTTCAATTTTTCTGATCATCTTGGCTATTATTTAAAAAAAATACCACTATTTGCACTAAAAAGAAACATAAAATAATAGTTATCAATGTTCTTGTATTTGATTACCATCTTGGTCAATTACTAATTTTAATCGTGCTGATATATTATCCATCATTCGTTGACATAAAGAAACACTAAATTTGTTCCATTCTTATTTAACGTCGTTTTTCAATTGTTCAATATTATTGTATTCTCGTCCTTGTGATTTTTCTTCTAATGTACCCCAAACATTTTCTATAGGCCAAATATCGACTAATTTTTTAGTTCAATTAGATCCATAAAAAAAACATGTTTAACGGTACCCAAGCCTCTCCTTTGTTTATAATCCTGATCATCTTCAAAAATAACATTTCGTAAATTACTAATTCTTTAGCTGTTTTTTCGTGCTACAATAGTTTGAATGAATTTTGTATATTCATAATCACTAAAATACATTTTCTTACGACTATCACTAGCTAGTGATCTGATAAGCTTTAACCATTTATTGATAAAAACTGGAGATAGTGCTTTGGTTGAATGCGAGAACGATGAATTTTAAAATGATTTCAATAGTTTTGAAACACCCTTTATATCTAGGGTTATTCCATAATCCTCAGGACTATGGGGAACCAATTCTCTGTATAAAAATGAAAATTTTTCAAGATTAGGAGGATTACTTTCGACCCTCCCTGTATACATCGAAGACAAAATGTAATCTAATATTACCTTCACATACCATGATCAAATATCACAGAAATATAGAGCATTGTTTTTACTATCAGATCATATAGACAAAAGATTTTTTGAAGCTTTTTTTATATGAGGAATTAAAATACCTTCGCCACTCATTTAGGCATTGTTTTTACCGTGGAGTAAGAATATTTCTATTAAATTTCCATTCTGAATAATAACCATCTCGTTCTTTCAAAATTGCAGTTGTTTGCTCAATTAAAAATCTGTAGATAAGATTTGAATATATTTCCAAAAAAAAAAAAATAATAATAATAATAATAATAATTCTTACTTGCAATTATCAATTAATTCTTGAAAATTATTTTTTAATAAATTAGTTTCATTTTTTAATTTATCATATTCAAATTTTAATTTATTAAAATCTTCTCGTAATTCAACTTTAGTATCTATATACAAAAAAAGAAAAGTTTTTCTTTCATTAAAAATAAAATGACTTACAAGCATATTCTGCATCAATTAAGGCATTAATCCAGACAAGAAGCTGCCTACGACATTGCCTAAAGTCATTAACAAAAAAACAGAAGACATTTTTTTCACATTAGTAAATTACTATGCATTCATGCTGACACAAGAACATTCTCGATTATTAAATTGTTTATTAGCCAACTTTTGATAATTATTTTTTTTTTTGATACTATTAAATAGAATCTATCGGTCAGGATGTATAGTTTTTATATGACTAATCAGTAACAAATATTTGTTATTGTTATTCCAAGGTTTTTGAAATAGTACAAATGGATTCAACAAATAATTCTTTGTTAGGTTGTATTACTCTTCGAAACAAAAATAAACTGAAATCAAGAGAATATGATGCTACTGAAAAATGTTTCAACATTAACAGAAAGATTGCATGTTTAAACAAAGGCATTCTGTTTTTTTTTTAATTCTAAGTATTTGTAATTGTTGCTTATAAATACAAGAGAGATTATCTAAATTGATTTCTGTTTGATATTCATTCGATAAGTTAATCTTCACTTTTAATTGTTGTATTTGACATTTGTATGGTGGAATTTTGAATGATGAGTTTCAGAGGTTGTCAAAAGATTCATCCGATATTTGAAAATAGCTCAGAGAAATTTATAGTCTTTTTACTTGGTATTGAAATATATCAATAATGTAATTCATGTTTATTAGAAATTTCTTTTTTTTTTTATTCTTTCTTAATGAATACACTTACAAAAGTGTATAACGAAGTGTAGTAATATCTAATCCATATTCATCGGAATTATTATATAAATCTTCATCATAAAAATGTTTTAATAATAGATTATCTTCATTAGTATTTGTCTTTTCTTGCATATTGTAAATGAAAATACAATTTATTTAAATAATATAGATGTCGGTATAGAAAACTTTTCAAAAAAATTCTAACTCTAATTTAAATCTATTATTTAATTTAAATATTTTATTTTCTAAATATATATATTTTATTTCATTTTTTATTCAATCATCAATTCATATTCTCATTCCACACGTTGAATTCTCATAGGTTTATCTAATACAATGTTAACCAATCATTTGAACACACCCCATACTCTGCTGTTTGCTACTTGATTCGTCTCTATCTTCTATAAAATAAAAGTAAAACAAAGAGAAAGCGGTATCGGTTCATTCATATTCTTTTGAAGGGCATCATGATTCGTACAACATACTCATTACTTTTACTTTCTTTTGTTATTGCTATCGTTTATTCAACAGATCATTTTGTTGAAAAATTTGAAGGTAAATATTTTACTTGTAATTTTATTATTTCTTATTAAATTAATTTATTTCTAAAAAGATGAAAGTTATACAAAACGATGGGTACAATCAGCAGCAAAATCAGATTTAGGTGAATTTAAATTATCACATGGTAAATTTTATGGTGATGCTAAAAAAGATCTTGGTATGTATTTTATTCATTGAATAAAGCAAAATAAAATAATATTCATTTCTTTTTTCAAGGTCTTCAAACATCACAAGATGCACGTTTTTATGCTATGTCTGCTAAATTTGATTCGTTTTCAAATGAAGGAAAAACTCTTGTTGTTCAATTTACTGTAAAACATGAACAAAAAATTGATTGTGGTGGTGGTTATGTTAAAGTTTATCCAGCAGATACGAATCAAAAAGATATTACTGGTGATTCACCATATCATATTATGTTTGGTAAATAGAAACAAAAAAATTATTTGTTTGGTTTTCTATTTCATTGTTTTATTTTTTTTTAGGTCCTGATATTTGTGGTTATGATAAAAAGAAAGTTCATGTTATTTTTACATATAAAGGCAAAAATTTATTAATTAAAAAAGATATTAAATGTAAAGATGATGAATTCACACATCTTTATACATTAATTCTTAATTCTGATAATACATATGAAGTTCGTATTGATAATGAAAAAGTTGAAAGTGGTAAACTTGAAGAAGATTGGGATTTCACTGTACCAAAACGAATTCCTGATCCAAATGCTAAAAAACCATCAGATTGGGTTGATGAAGAAAAAATTGATGATTCAGCTGATAAAAAACCAGAAGGTATATTTTTGTAAAATTCTTAAAGACAAAGAAAATTATTTATTTTTTTGTTATTAGATTGGGATAAACCAGAACATATTCCTGATCCTGATGCTAAAAAACCAGAAGATTGGGATGATGAAATTGATGGAACATGGGAACCACCAATGATTGATAATTCCGCATATAAAGGTGTATGGAAAGCTCGTCAAATAGATAATCCAGCTTATAAAGGTCAATGGGTTCATCCAGAAATTGATAATCCTGATTATGTTGAAGATCAAAATCTTTATTTATATAAAGATATATCAGTAATTGGTTTTGATTTATGGCAAGTTAAATCTGGTACTATCTTTGATAATATTATTATCACAGATAGTGTTAAACGTGCTGAAGAATTTGGTAATGAAACATGGGGTAAAACAAAAGATGCTGAAAAAAAAATGAAAGATTCACAAGATGAAGTTGAAAGAAAGAAAGAAGAAGAAGAACGAAAAAAACGTGAAGCTGGTATGTAAATTTTTATTTTATTAATTAAATAAAATCTTTTTCTTTTTTTCTTTGTTTTTAGAAGATAAAAGTAAAACACCAGGCGATGATGATGATACAGATACCGAACATGGTAAATCAACTCATGTACATGATGATGAATTATAACTGATAGATTAAATACATTTCCAGTCAGTTTTTATGACTTAGTTTAAATCTTTTCTTTTTATCGTTTTTTTTTTTTTTTTTGTTCCCTTTATTATTATGTTATTTTGGTACCGATATAAACATCGTTTTGCTTGTTTGTGTGAACGTATCTACTATATGCTTTGTTTTCTTTTTGTTTTCTTTTTATACGCCGCTGTTTATGGATTAAGTACAAAATATATACTGATGATGAGTCATTCTATGTTATTACGAAATTCTAATGCAATGAAAGTAACATGCATATATATAAGGGTCACCTAGATATGTGAAATCACATAAACAATGGAGTGCATAGACAAAGCTTTAATTCCTGTCGAACATGAAGAAGAAATATTAGTGTTGAAATCCATATTTAATGAAGATTTCGTATTAATTGATAATGAAAATGATGAATCGACATTTGATCTAATTATTCATTTTGATTCATTACCAAATAAACTTCTTCTTATTCATGATGAGTCCAATGTATCTACTGAACTTTCTCATTTACCACCTATAACTCTTCATATAACTTATAGAAAAACATATCCTAAAATAGATCCACCATTATATTGTATTCAATGTGATTATTTAACATGTGATCAATTATTATCATTAACAAATCAAATGGATAAAATGTGGCAATCAGGTGAAGTTATTATTTATACATGGATTGAATTTTTAAAAGATTATTTTTATAATTTAAATAATCAACTTATTCTTTCTGATATTAAATCATCTATAAATGATAAACGTTTTTTAACTAATTATGATAAAATTGGATCTAAACAAATTTATCAACAATTAATTGAATATAATCGTATACAAAATCAATTTGAATTTGAACAAACAAATCATATTTGCCCAATATGGTAAGAAAAAATTCATTTTTTATTCATCATTAATCATTATTATTATTATAATTATAATTATTAATTGAAATCTTTAGTTTAGAAGAAAAATCAGGAAAAAATTGTTTACAATTTGAAAAATGTCATCATTATGCTTGTCTGTTATGTTTAAAATCTCATGCAAATGAATATTTATCTAATATTCAACAAAATAAATCAATCAATTGTTATGAATGTGATTCACCATTATATCAATCTGAACTTCGTCGAATATTTTCTGATGATAAATTATTTTTAAAATATCAACAACGTTTATTAGAACAAACTGTTGATATGGTATGGTGTCCACGTTGTCATCATGCAATTATTTGTATACCATCAGAAAGTATATCAGGAAATCATCAATCATTTGTTGAATGTTTTTATTGTCGATTTACATTTTGTCGACGATGTCAACAAAGTTGGCATCCACAAATTCAATGTCCTAAAGATGAAATTCTTCAAAATATTAAACAAAATTCAAATTCTGATCAATCAAAATTAAATAAAATTGAATTAAAACAACTTTTATTAGAAATTGAAAATATTCAAATAATTGAACAATGTACAAAACCATGTCCATCATGTGGTGTTCGAATTGAAAAAAATGGTGGTTGTCAACATATGCATTGTCGAGCATGTCAAATACATTTTTGTTGGGTATGTGGATGGTATGGAGGTACTTATAGTCCACATCCATGTGAAATAAAACCTGAAAAATTTCAAGCATCATTACCATTAGATATGAATGAAAAACTTGAACAAATATTACATGATGAAAATGGAACACAAATTCATCATAATATTGCAAAACGAGTACAAATATGTCCAAGAGAAAATTGTCGTCAAACTCATGTTAAAATTGGAACAAAAAATATGATTACATGTGAAAAATGTGAAACTAGATTTTGTTTTTTATGTGGAGAAGTTGTTTATGGAGATTTTCATTTTTCCGAATATGGTTGTAAAGCTAATACTCGAATTTAGTATTTTTGTTTTTTCTTAATAATAATCAAATTTATTTTTATTTCTTATATAAAAATAATTAAATAGAATGACATAAATATAAATAATGAATTATTTAGTGATAAGATCAACTTCGCATATACATTCAAAATAGTAACCATTGTTTTGCTTCCTCTGCGTTTTTTTTCAAACATTTTTTCATGTTACGAATACGTCGAAAATCGACCCTGTTAAAGTCGCTATTCATGTGTGCATTGGGTACTATGTTTTGATTTTTGGAATAGAGAAATGATTGTTATTGGTTACAAAAAATGGCTAATCCTAACGACGATTTTTCCTTCTGATTCCTTTAATATTTTTGTTCGCAAAAAGAAAACAATGTGAATATTGGAACTATTTGCGATGTTTCAATTTCTGTTTTATTAGTAGAAGTCGCATTTTATCTTTTTTTTTAAAACTATGCCCTGACCTCAGACACATGGATAGATATGCTGAAAAGAGGACAGATATCAAACGTTAGATAATGAAATTTAGTTTTATCTGATTCAAAAGAAACAAGTTTGAATTGGCTTTGAAAAAATTTATTAGTTTTAGAATTTATTAATTTTTATATTATATATTTAAAATCAAATTAATTAAGAAAAATTCAGATTATTTTCTTTCTTACGGTATGAAAAACTATTTGAGATCAGAAATTGAAATCAACTATAAGGAAAAAAATTCTTTGAGTTATTTAATTCTCTCGTCGAACTTAATTTTATCGATGGTTTAAAAGAATAAATACATGTGTATAAACTAATATTCTATCGTATGGATGTGACAAATATAAGAAAGTAGACTCAATCAGAAATGATTGAAACGAATCTAGTATCGTAACAAATTTTCCTTCTAGAAATTTCCATGTAATTCAAAAGCTCAATAGACCAGTAACTAACCGATGGTTATTTTATATATAAACAGTAGGCTATTCTGTAACCATCATACTGTTGTGGTATACCTATCATAGTTTTACTGAATATTTGTACTTTAAGATTAGCCTTAACTCAAGCGAGTTTAAGCTGATTGACGTATACGAAAAAAAAAAGACTTTTATGAATTGTTAAAATTTTGAAATATTTTGCTGATGTTATTAATTAACTCTTAACTTTCTGTCCGATCATTTTTGACTGATTCGTAATGAATAATTGGAAAAATAGTTTTTCTAGAATTATTTTATTTTCAATATAAACTCATAAAATGACAGGATCTACATGCTAAAAACTTTATTAAAATTAAGAATCAATCAAAAAGAATTCCATGGACATTTTTAAGTAACTTTATGTCGAGTAATAGCTTGTGTTATGGCTCTTGGTTTGTGCAAGAGCTGAACAATAGGTATTACTGCGAGGAGGCAAACGATTAAATATGACAATCTTCAAGTCTATTAATTGGTAGCGACTACTGTACCATTTATATATCGCCATATGAAAAATCCATTTATTATCTAAACTAAGTAACCGTCAGAAGCCAAAAATCGGTTCTTCAAAGTGCATAAGTGTGTAATCATAGAGGATTGGTTATAGTTTTAATTATTTATTTACTTAGCTTGATCGATTTTCTTTTTTTTTTGTTTTTTTGCTTCAAGTTTTTGTTGTTTGTTTTTTTTTAGAACTTACATAGTTGCTTTTTCTTTTTTTTTCGTGTGTGTTTCGTGTGTTTACAAATCTTGTTTTTTTTTTTCCTATCTCTTTTTTTTCCCTTGTTTGTTTGTGTGTGTGGTTATTGTGATTAAATGTCGTCTGATCAAGGTGTTTCCTCTTCAACAAACAGCAATAATACTGGTTTTCAACCGATACGTCAAAATTTGGATAATATAGCACAAGCATTTGAAAGTCCAATTCAAATGTTTACTATGAAACAACAATTACCAATGGCATCACCAATAACTGGTACAATTTATACAGGTCCGCCAGCAAAATATTTAAATAATAGCAATAATTATATGAGACCAATGTTACCACCACAAAAATATGTTACATATAATGGATCATCAATGCAACAACGTCGACAAAATAATAATGGAGTTGATAATGCAACGAATGATTCAGTCAAGTAAATAGATAATTGAATTTTCCTTTTTTGTTTTCGAAAAAACTAAATGAAAATTATTTAGTAAAAGAAAAGTTTTTGTTGGTGGTCTTAGTCCAGATACGAAGATGGGTAAGAAATATTTTTTACTTTTTCGAATTCTTTAATTGATAATTGATTTTTTTTTAAATTTATCTCAGAACATCTTCGTGAATATTTTTCAAAATTTGGCAGTGTTGAAAGTGCAACTGTTAAATATGATAAATCAGGTCGTTCAAAAGGTTTTGGTTTTGTTCTTTTTGAAGATCCTGATACACCCAATAAAGTAATTAATTTAATCATTTTTTTAAAATTTTTATTAATTTGAAAATAAAAAAAAACAAAATAGGTTTATTCTCAAGATGTCCATATAATTCAAGGCAAACGTGTTGATACAAAATCTGCACATCGTCGTGATCAAGCACTAGCTCGTAAAGTTTTTGTTGGTGGTTTAGATACAGAAATAACAGATGCTGAATTACGAGAATATTTTTCTCAATTTGGAATGGTTTGTTTTATTTGATTAAATTTTAAATTATATGAAAAAAAAAATCAACTGAACATTAATCTTTAGATTGCACAAATCGAAGCACCAATTGATAAAATAAAACAAAAACGTCGTCCATTTTGTTTTATACTTTTTGAAAATGAACAAAGTGCTGAAGAAGTACTTAAACAACCTCGACATACATTAGCTGGTAAATCTATTGATTGTAAACGTGCAAATCCAAAAAATTTAGAAAATAATCAACAAAATACAACGATGATGCAACAACCATTAACACATTATAATATGCCAAATTTAAATCAAAATCTATTTTCATATCAACCACGTAAATAAAATAAAATTTTTCTTTTTTTTTCTTTTATTTTCACAAAACAAAATGATTTATTTTAGAACAACGTTCACAACAACAATTACAATATCAACAAGTTGCACTTGCTGCTCAACAACAACATTATCCATATTATAAGTAAAATTTTTAATTAAGTCTTTTGTTCATATGTTGATGTTTTTTT